TGGCAGACTTATTCACTAAGGCTCTTCCAACCGCGACATTTAAAAAGTTAGTTTATCGTATTGGATTGCGTCGTCTCATAGATCTTTAGTGACATAATAATGAGGGGTAGTAATTGCGTGTTGCACTCTTTTTCCCTTATCCATGGTTTTTTCCCACTGGGTTTTTCCTGGAAAGGTTTTTAATGAGGCAGCATATAAACGCATTAAATCTCTCTTAGATAATTTGCATCCAAGGGAGAGTGTTACAAAATATAATAAATGTGTATGCCAATTATGGCTTGTAACTCCCATGAATGGACTCTTTATAGTCCATATACATTGTAACTCCCACTAGTCCATATACATTAGTCCATATACATTGTAACTCCCACTTGATGACATGAATGGACTCTTTATGGTCCATATAGGTTACATATTCTCATCATGTATATATATAGGATGGTCTAATGAAATGGGATGATCAACACAATTACTTTCTACATCCTCTCTAATATTCTCCCTTTCCTTTTATTTCATAACACCAATTTAATTTTAATCTCATTTTCATTAATTATTGCCAAATATAGCCTTGTTCCAAACTAAACGATAAGGTAAACTAAAAAAAAAATAGCCAATTCAATCATATTATTTGGATAATTCAAAAGTTAATTAAGAGGGAGGTATAATGAGGGGGAGTAATAAGAGTATCTAATATAATGAAAATAAATAACAATCCTTTAAAACTTGTATATAATTTAAAACCTACTTACGTGTATAGAATTAAGCCAATCAGAAACAAATAAAAAATTAATTAAGTTAATGAGGGAGGCTAGTGGTTCAATTAATTGATGAGTCAAACAAATAATTAGTTGTTATCTGATCTAAATAATTCCCATATTGCATTAGATTAAGATAATTGTGCTGAATATTAAAGTATAATCTTAGCATATCCTTAATTGAAAACATTTTAGTTGAATGATGCTAACATGGAGACATAGCTCCTCGTGTGAGTGTAATTCAGTTACTTTAGTTAATAAACGCCGGCCTTACAAATCTCCATTTTGGAACGTATGATTAAACTCTAAATAATTAAAATTAGCTATTGATTTTGTAGGACCGGGTGTCCTACATCAACTGACAATTGACATAATTATTAGACTTAATAAATAATAATAATACGGAGTAATAATCTTTTCCAATATATAAGAAGAAATATGGTAAAGTGGGATCTAATTTGGTTCGTTTAGATGAGTACTTTTAGAATATCAAATTATATAGAATTTGATTGTCATATAATTAAAGATATTAACGATTTAAGATGAGTATCGACATTCGGCACACATGCATGTAAAAGGAAAATGAGAAGAATTTTAAGGATTAGAGGGAGTAATTAATAAAATTAAGTAAATTATACAAGCCAATATTAATAAAATTCACCAATAATAAAGTATTAGGTATTACTAAATGTAGTTTTTGTAAAAGAAAAAAAAAAAAAAAAAAAAACTTTAATGTAGTTATATTTTAAGATTAAATTTACTTAGACACGTGAGACAAAGAATGTAGAGGATTAGTAAGGTAGGTTTAGGCAATGGTGGATACCTAAATGGTTGGTGGGGGTAAAGATAGATTTAATTTAGAGTAGAGATATCAATGAGCCGATGCATCGTGAACCTCAAACAAACTCGGTCAAAGCTCATTTGTCAAACAAGCTTGCACAAGAATTTCAAGCTCATTTAATAAACTAGTCCAACTCGAACAAAGTGATTCATACTTGGCTCATTTAGGTTCACTAACAATTCGTTCATTATTTAGGTGCTTATTTGTTACCCAAAGCTCGAGTTCAAATTAAATGATATACTTGCGAGGTAAAGCTTCAATATCAAAAAACTTATATACATGAGGCAAGCTCGAACAAGCAAAATAAATCTCGGTCAAGCTTGACTCAAGTTCGAGCTTGCTTATTACTTATCAAGCCTAGGTTGAACAAGCTAATACTCGGCATGGCTCATTGATATCTAGAAGCCGATTGACGCATTTTGACATTTATCATAACTTTGATAATCTTTGTCTTTCTTACTACTTTTTTTTAAAAACCTTGTTTTTCTTACCACTAGTATCATATAAAACACAGTGTTAATGAGTAATAAGACAATTATTGGATTTATCTCATTATATAATATTGAAATAAAGATTTTACAATTTTTACAAATACATAATTAGGAATTAGATTGTTGTTATGATAAAAGCGTATTATGTTAATTATTATGGAAGGTATAGAGTATTATTTATAACCAACTCCGATCATTTTCAGTTCATATAGACAAACAAGTAAAAAGGGGAGAAAACATTGGTATTATACATTGACTCCTCTTACGCAAAAAGAAACGGATAATAGTCTTTGTTTTGCACAAAAGAAACTGTGGTTCACTATTTTATTTTTGGAGAAAATGTCAAAGAAAAGTGTCTAGTGGTTCTAAAATTATTAACAAAAATATCTAAACTTCTAGATAAAATTAGCCAGTAACATTTGTAAATAGTTACATTTGCATTTCCTATCTCTTCACCAATAGAAAAACATAAGTTTGCACAATTGCACTTTGCACCCTTGTGGACTTGTGGTAACACACTAACACTGGTAAGGCTTGCTAACTCCTACTCTGGCGACTCAAAATCAACCCTCATTGCGAGTGGCATAGAGAATGTTAGGATGCAATACTATTATACATTTGGATGAACAAAAAAATTAAACGAATTTAATACTGCTGGTTGCGAATAAACAAAAAATAACTTCAAATAAGTTTGGATAATTGACTTAAGACTATTAGCTCAATCGGATCGGGTGCACAAGAGATTCCTTGGTGTTAGGTACAAGTCAATTGTTGTACATGTTACCATAAATAATTAAAAGGTTAAAAAAAAAAAAAAATTACCTTGTGTTTATAAGCGTAACTAAGCATCGCAAGCTCATGTAATAATTTGTTTATTGAGATTGAAAAGCCACATGTTCACATGAGCTAACACACCCTTGAATATTAACCATTGTAAATTCTCCAAGAATTAAGTAAACGTGTTGCTGAAGAACTTTAGTTAGAAGATATTTCGTCATGTAAGATGTAGAGTTCCGAACTTGTTAAGACATAACAATACTCCGTACTATGCAACAGGTTAGTTGAAATTTCAAAGGTAACACACTAACACTGCATCAACCAAGTTAGAAATCCTATGATGATCGGAAAAAAATCTGTCACAGTGTAGTAGTGAATAAATTATATATGGAATTATTGATAGCAAGAATTACTAGTTGAAATAGTAAATCAGATCTTAAGTTCAATATTACTCTTGTTCAAATTGTTGTTCTAAGTAAGGATGGGGTTGCTTTAGTTCGTTTTTATTTCATTGTTGAAACTTTGTTCCAAATAAAATACTACTCCCTTCCGTCTTATAATATAGTTCCTGTTTATGTTTTTTCACAATATTTAAGAAATAAGAGGAGAAAGTGGATGAAGTATATTAATAAAAGTGAAAAGTATAATTATAGACAAAAGTTAGAGAGAAAAAGTGGAAAAAAGTACAAAGTATGTGCAAAATTCAAGGGTAATTTAGAAAGTACAATGAATAAAGTTAAAAAAATGAGAGTATAATGGTCTTTACATACTATCTAAAAATAAAAACAGGAACAATATTTTGGATTTTCAAAATAAGAAAACAGGAAGTATATTATGGAACGGAGGGAGTACAAATCAATAAAAATAACATTTTTATCCAATTATTGCCAAAAGTTCATTTAGTTTGACATTTTTTTTTTCCCTTTTAACTCGTGTGCAGTAATCAGTCAGTTTATGATATTGGCTTCTCTTGTCTTATTATAAAATCTGAATTATAATTATTCTTAATCATTTCTACCCTCTTTAACAATCATTACTGATATTATTTGTCAGCCTTTTTAATTTCCATATCCAATCAGAAAAAGCAAACTGGCCCAATCATTGTTTAAATTTTAGATTATCTGAACATTGTCTTATATGCCACCAATACTGCATCTTTCATTCTGTCAAAATGATATTATGTGCAATATATAAATGCATTACTAAACATTACATTCAATAATATTCAATACTATTCTCTAGCTATTAATATTTTTGATATCATAGATTGAATGAAAACGGATACAGATGTCAAGTACTCGCACCGAATGATATATGAACATAGGAAAAGGACATCCGAAAATGGACATGCGATTATTAGAGTTTAAGTAAAAAAAACCATAAAATCAACAAAGTGCGTGGTAGTTAATAATTACTTACCTGTCTTGATTAATCAGGCTAATATTCTCTATTAATGTTTTTGATATCATCGGTTGCATGGAAACGAATACAGATGTTAAGTACTCGCACCATATGAACATAGGAAAAGGACATTCAAAAATGGACATGGGGTTATTAGAGTTTAAGTCAAAATAAGTCCACAAAATCAACGAAGTGGTAGTTAATAATTACTTACCTGTCTTAATTTATCCAGCTAATAGATTTTGACAGTTAAAGTTTCTAATTTTGATGGACTTTTTTTTCATTTGTATGACTAGTTTTACTCTAGGAATAGTTTGTCCTGTTCAATTTGGTTATGAAGTTTCCTCTGATGTCCTGGTCCTTTGCTGAATTTTATTGTCATTAATAACTAAAAAGGTTTTCAAATGTCAATATATATTTGTCTAATAACATAATTAGTAGAGTTCAATTGTTTGCAATAAAATATAATTCCACGTCCTTGCAATTCGCAGGATAAAATTATCCCTTCTGCCTTGCTCCAAATCATAACCTTTTCGTTGATTGCAATCGTTTAGACTTTGTAATCACACGTATTCTAATATTTTATATTTTATAAGTATATGCTTTAGGCCTCTGAGCCATCAAAAGGGTTTCTTTAATTCTCTTAATCCTTAATTTAATCTACATTACAATGGTCTTCTAGTATGTAATGGCCTGCAATGGCCCCATTAATCATTTAGAGCCTAACTACACAACAAAAGTGTCGTTTTAGTATTAACGAAGTCAATCTGCAACTTGCTGCATTAGTTTTTGAGTATAAATGTCCTTCGATATCTTGGTTTCCTTCAAGCTCGAACAAAATCTAGCTTCTTCTAACATACTTCTAACACACTTAAGCTCAATTAAGTAAAAAAATAAAAATTAAAAAAAAACAATAAAACTATGATGATGGAGGGGGCAGAATGGAGCTCCTTTAACGGAATTTCTGTCAATGATGAGGCCAATTTTATGGCTCAGTTGTTTCCTAATTGTTCGCTTGAGCAAGAGCTAGAATCGTGTAGCTTGGCATTGTCATCCTCTTGCTACTCTGGTATGACAGAGGATGACAGGCTTGACAGCAGTTCATTTTTTAGTACCGACGATAAGAATTTTAATTCATATTGTTTGTCCCAAGGGAGTAACTATAGTGGTGGCAGCAGCAGTACTGTTGGCTACCCTTATCATGAAAACTTTTGCTTGAGCGAAACTCATCAAATTTTTGCAGCTAATGATAATAGCTGCCACTTTCCTGTTGATTTATGTCCATCTGCTTCGAAAAACTTTATCCAGCGCTTTCCAGGTAACCCGATGGAAAGAAGTGACAGCTTGAATTTGGAAATCAGCTGTGGTGGCAGTTTTGAAGATCAGCCAGAGTTTTCGGAAAATAAGAATTTACAGCTGAAACAAGAATATGAGATGTCAGAAGTCGAGCCAGCTTCTGAGGATAGAAGCAGTGGCTTGTTTGAGAGTGGAAAGAAAAGATCTCGAATTTCAGAGGTAAGATTGTTAAACTTTCATTATGAGCCTTTTGAAAGTGTTTATTATATTAAATTACAATGTCTGATCATGGTATTGCATTGTATGTTCAGAAAGGAAAGAGGAGTGTCAGGACAAAGAGGAATCAGAAAAATGGTTCTGATGACGAAGATAATGCTCCTGACTTTACTAAGCAGAACTCGAGTACTAGTTCAGAAGAGCTCGAGGAATGCAACGGGTCTCAGGAGTTGGGTTCAAAAGAGACTGCAACTGTCAAAATGAATGGTAAAACAAGAGCGAGCAGGGGAGCTGCAACTGATCCTCAAAGTCTCTACGCAAGGGTAAGTGTTAACAGTTTACATATCAATAACAATGCATATCGCCCTATTGGTTAATCATTGATTATTGATTAAACTTATTTTCGCTATATTGCAGAAAAGAAGAGAGAGGATTAATGAACGATTAAGAATCTTGCAGAACCTTGTTCCTAATGGAACGAAGGTGAGAACACTTCGATTTTAGCATATCTTATTTTTTACTATATTCTAAGTCTTTATCAAGAAATGAAAATCTTAAGGATCTGATTTTGGTTGACAGGTTGACATAAGCACAATGCTTGAAGAAGCTGTCCATTATGTCAAATTTTTGCAGCTTCAAATCAAGGTAAAAGGGATATGATGACATCCTTAATGTTTGAATTTTAAGAACAGAAAAACGCGTCATGGTTCATTTCAAAAAATGACTTCATCCAAGACAATAATATTCTACATATCATTTAAAAATATATATAATGAAGTCAAACAGATGGCAAACCTTATTTTTAATGTTTGTGCAAAGATACGCTAGTCACAAATATTTTAAAGAGTAGTTTATAATTGAGTCCCTTACAATATTGAAAAAACATACAATGATCAAAATGCAATAATGTAATATTATATTAATTGGTACTAATTTCTTTCTCTCTTTGATTTCTTGCAGCTATTGAGTTCTGACGAGATGTGGATGTATGCGCCTCTTGCATACAACGGAGTGGACTTTGGTCTTGATTCAAAGATCAGCGCGCAGCTATGATGTACCTAAAAATCTATGGCTCATGTAACTTCATAACACATGATACCAACACTAATAATAACTAAGCCCTTGTTATCTTATCAGTAAACTAAGTTACAAAGGCAAACATTTTTTGCTGAAACCTGTAAGAAAGTTCAAGTGACAGTTTACATTTGATCTAGACTGACATGGATTACCAATTTGTGTCCGTTGATTTTTGCATAATGGACCTTGTTCGAAATACATTGTTTCTTAATGACTTGTTTTGATCACATTGGTTTTATTCTTGTTCTACTGATGGACTCGTCGTTGCTTGGTGTGGGTGATCATGTAATTTGTAAATAAATATGATTGAACGATTAGAACTTTGCTCTTAAAGACAATGACTATAGAGTTACTTTGGGGAGATATATAGAATATTGACAATGTTTCTACAGCTATATGTACTATAGTAGCAACTAGCAAGGCTGTCTATCTGGCTTGGAATCTGTAGCAAAGTTGCATTCGAGAAATATGAGAATGGACAAAATTTCTGATACAAATGCTAAATTGCAAGCTGTTTCTGTTTGGTTTAAAGAATCTTAATTCCTGGTATCTTTAGGTGCACATTTCATCCAAAGTATAGCTCATTACATAAACAGAGAAGCTACTTACAAAAGAAAAAAAAAATAGTGTAAAATAAACTCTTTTAAGTTCCTAAAATTGATGCTCAGTAGTTCTGTAGCTGTCAATGAAATGGTAGCTGTAAAATACATTTCAAAAAGAATTTATAGCAAAAATCAGCAAATTGGAGCCAACACGACCAGCTGCCAAGTTGAGTCTGTTAGGGGAGGAACTCATTTAACCCCAACTTTGATGGCTGACACAGGTGGTCATAGGAGTGCAATAACTGTCTTCTCAACTTGCAAACACCACCCATCATGACTGTGTCAACGGACACAAGTGTCTGCAATGGGCAGGTTTACCATAGTCGTTGCCTCAAATGCACCACACCTATGTCAGATGACATATAACAGAGGTGTGGAACCTTCATCATTATTGGTTTCTTAGATCAATTCCAACCTACAATGCCGTTGCAGTTGACATGGGTGCCTGCCAGTGGTGAAGAACTCCGCCTTCTCCCATGCTCTATCTTGAACAGGGCTGCTGCCATGGCCATGTTAATAAAATTATAAGCTCAAGTGCACAACAGCGCATGGCAGCCTTATTTACTCCTACAAAATCCATATTTTCTGTGGATTTTTTCCAGCAAATGACTGCACGGCCCTGAAATATCTTGCAATCAATATACTGCCGTACAATTTTCTTCCTCGTGTTTGTCTACAAACCATTGATCAGAAAGCACTATATCAGTGTATTGGCAGTCACAAATACATTATGGGAAGGATAATCTCTTCTTGCTGGGCTTGGTCTGGTTATCGGATATTCAATCAAACCCGTGACATTGTTTCTCCTACCTATCATATTTTTTAATCATGCTTAACACAATCGAAGCAGGTACATCAAGATCGACTCTCACTTTGTCAACAAGCGTATATTCACATTCAATAACTAGCTGATGTTTTACTAAATGTCTTTCAAGTAATTAATACAATTTATTTAAAGTCAATCTAAACATGATTTCCTCTACACATACTAGAGTTCATGTACAAAAAACTTAATTGGTATGTATGAAATTGTGTAAACAGTTTTACTAAAAAACATACATATGCGTATTATTACTTAGAATGTAGAGAAGGTTAGAGTCTTCATTATGTTTGGACTGTTAAAAAAAACCTTTCGCGACTAGTCTTTCCTAAATAAGGGATGTAACAGATCACCTTGAACAATGTAACAAGTATTTTATTACAAAGATATATAAGTCCCTCCTGCATAAGTATCACCTTCATCAAATCACAAATTATTCTAAGACAAACTGATCACAAAGAAAAATAATAGATGGATCAGACAAAAGTTCTCTGGTGAATTTTTAATACGGTGCATGAACTAGTACAAGTACATAATCTGGTTGCCAAGTCACATATGATCTTGTTCCTCTCGAAAAATCCCTATAACTGTCTAGGGAGATAGTATACGAAATACGATCATTAGCTAACAGACGCAGTTGTTGATCAGGGGATATTGTGTAAACAAGTCATCAATCAACAAGCACTAATCCAAAATAATATAATTATTAACAAAAATACAGAACATTGAAGAAGACATTACTAATCAAAAAATGGCGTAAGCAGATATTTGTCTGTATCAAAGTATATTCTCTAAATTATATTATATATATTTAAATTTTATAATAAGGTCTCATTTGTAGCTTGAAAGATCTTAATCTTAGTCTATTTTATTTTTCATAAGAACATAGAGAACTCATTGCACGTCCTTGCAAGTTGCTAAGAGGTGGATTCTTTCTCTAACCCCCCATCCAAAAAAATTATTCTTTTTCTTTTTATTATTCTAAAAAGCAATTAATTGTCTGGTACTACCAATTATATAACTCGTACTACATACATTCTCTATCAATCATTGGATTGTATTTGTAACCATTTCTCCATCCTTGTTCATTCTAATGTTTTTCTAGCCCCGGTACATTCTTTGATCCGTCCGAAACTAATAGTCACATATACTGATTTAGCATTTACTTTTCATTTACACACACATTGGCATCGTTCATGATGAGGGAGTGAATAGAAAAAACGCGACTATAATAAAGGATTTCTTATTTGTAAAAGTGTTGTCTGTTATTACAAAAGGTTGGGACAATGTGGAAACTAATTCTGAATGGACGTGTTATTATTATTTTATGACTACCAACCGGAATAGTTAACTTCCTGCTATTAGCTGTCATGGGTCCCATCGTAGTAGACTCGTGTTGCTGATGTACATGGATAATGACATTAATATTTGTTAATCTTCTCAACAACTAATCATTTAGTTAAACAGAAAACAGTTTATGGAAAGGTCAATTTTATTCTCTACTTCTTTGTTCTGTTAATTGACATAATATATAAACTAAAACATGATCATCTCATCCATCCTCATCCACATTATTAACTAGCTTATAAGCTTCGAAAAAAATAAAAATCGAAACCTAAATAACAGTATAACAACAAACACAGCAGCATTCTCCTTCTCCTCCTGCAATACTTCGATTCTACTAATAACTCGAGACGGTATGGAAGGAGGAGAATGGAGCAATTTCAATGCTGCTGTGTGTGTCAACGAAGAGGCTGATTTTATGGCTCAATTGTTTCCTAATCCTAACGACGTAAATCTCAATTACAGCCATCATCATCATTACCACATTATTGCTAATAATAATAACAATAATAATAATAATAACAATGCAGAAGGTGGTTCATCTTATTATTCTTCTGATTCCACCTCTAACTCTCAAAATATGTACCGTTATTCGCAAGAGAGTAGTTATAATAGGAGCAGTCATGATCATGAGGTTCATTATCACAATTATTTTGGTGATAATAATCATCATCATCAACAACAATTAGCAGCCGCGGCTAGTAATGCATCCTCGTTGCCTATTGAGTTTCTCCAGTGTCATATGGGTGATCATGACAATGGCGCGATCAATGATGCAGACGTCGATGAAGATCAGTCTCAGTTGGATCCTGCTGCTGAGGATAAAATTTGTGATTCCTCTTACAATTCTAAGAAAAGAGGCAGAGTTTTAGAGGTAAGCAAATTTCTTACGTTCTCTTTTGGTTACATTCAGATTACTAGTTTATTTACGTCTCAAAATAAAATGTCACGACTCTATTTTTGTTCGTCTCAAAATAATAGACCACTTTATTTATGGTGTACATTAAATTTTGAATTTACATTACACCATTTATTAGAATCCTGGAGAAAAAGACTACGATAGCATGGTAATGTAAGACAGTAATTGTATTCTAAGTCAATTCCTTACAAAAGTTCGCAAATCAAATGCGGCTTATCATTTAGTTACAGAGGGAGTACAATATTTCGGGTGATTGATAGTATTATTGAAAAATGCAGGGTGTTCAAAAGGGAAAAAGGAGTGTAAGGGTGAAAAGAAGTCAGAGTCTATCGGCCTTAGGAGGCGATGATGATGAGAAGGAAAACGATGGAATAGCGGTGAATAGACAGAGCTCAAGCAGTGGTAGTTTAGAGGATGATTGCAGCTCTAAGGGAACTACGACGACGACGACAACGACAACGACTGTTCTTAATTCCAATGGTAAAACAAGAGCCAGCAGAGGGTCTGCTACTGATCCTCAAAGTCTATATGCAAGGGTAAATCACCTATCTATAATTTTTACCACAATTTGTTCTTAAAATTCTATTTTTTTTGGCAATGTACATGAACTAAATTGATTCTTTTTATGAAGCAGAAAAGGAGAGAAAGAATTAATGAGAGATTGAAAATCTTGCAAAGTCTTGTGCCCAATGGAACTAAGGTAAAAACACAAGGATGAATATTGTGTTTATTTGTTTTAAAATATTTGTTTTTCTCTTTTGTTTCAAAATTTGAGATTAATCTATTTGAAACATATTTATCTCTATTGGCATTACATATTACATATAGGGTGACGATTTTTACTACACAATATTTTATCCATATCTTTGAAATTGTACTTACATATCATGCTCGTAATTGCATTTGTATTTATATATTATAAGAAAAAACAGTCTTGTTATACGTTTCACAGGTGTTTTAAAAATATCAAATTTCATACATGATCAACAATATACATTGAGAAACATGGACAAGTCAAACCAACATTAAAAAAAATAGAGGAAATACTACTTTTTATATGGAGTAACAAGACATGTCAATATCGTAACAGAAAATGTGACAATTACATTCAACCAACGTACATTATTGTTCAACTTTAGGCTTTTGTTTAAAAAAAAAAATCATAATATCATTTTCCAATCATAACTTGCCATAATATACTTGCAATATTAAAAGGAGTATTTGACTTTTTTTTTTATTTTTTTTTTGACAAGAGAGTATTTGACTAATTTATCATGCGGCATAGTAGCATATTCGTTGAACTATATTTTATTGAATAATTTGGTTAAGGAATGTTCATAAAGTCAACTAATTGTTTACATGATATGTAGGTTGATATCAGCACCATGCTTGAGGAAGCTGTGCAGTATGTCAAGTTTTTGCAACTTCAAATCAAGGTAAAAATATTACAAAAATTATACTTGTGCATTAAATAAAGTTATTATCGCGTCTTTAAAAATTTGTTATTTTGCAATTATATGATTTAGATTAAATATTAACCATAATTCACGTAATTTTTGCAGCTACTAAGCTCTGATGAGCATTGGATGTATGCACCAATTGCTTACAATGGAATGAACATCGGGCTCAATTTCCAGTTTAAATAACCTTCCTAGATGATCTAATTAAAATCGCGACAAAAATGTTCCCTTGCAAATTTTGTTCAAGATATACGAAGTATACAATCTCACATGTAATTAAGTAAAACTTTATACTCCTATACAAAGTTTTCTTCCCATTATGTTGGGTAGGGAAACATAACAAATCTCATAATTTGTTTCATTCATTCTTGTAATCCTTTGTTTTATGATTTTTTGTTACTCCATACTATTAAAAAAAATAATAAATAAAAAAAAAAAAAAGAATATGAAAATTTATTGTCTACATATTTGGGTCAATGACAAATTATTAGATTTAGTCATGTATGCTAAATATACATGAAACCATCGACAAATTATTGACATCAAAGCCTTTTTTTTTAAGGTGCACAATTATTAGATAGAAATAAGCTTTTTGAAATTGTCGTCATATACACAATTAACCCATCGACAAAGATCAACTTTAAAAGTTCTTTAAGGTTTTTTTTGGTGCACAATAGTTGGATGGAAAGAAGCCGTTAGGCCCTCATTGTTTGAATGATGCAATAATTGACTAACAGTTTATTGAAACTAAACTTCACATTGCACGAAGATGAACCCAATCCAAGGTTATATTTGTTTGATGGAAATCATCTTTTTGAAAAATCATTTTTCAAATGAGTGGTCGATTGAAATATGACTACCATAATGTTTTAATAATTATACAGTTTGATTGACGGACTTATTTTTCTCAAGTGATAAAGTATACTTCGTATATCTTTACTTCTGGTATAAAATAGTATCATTAACATTTTTTTTTTATTTATCCAATTTTTAGTTTCATTTATGTAATTATAATTTGTCGAAGGAAAATTTTTTATGTATTAAAATTTTTAAAAATTATATTTGCATTGTAGATATTAAAATATTAATTGAGTCTCTACTATAATGTGAAAAAAATGAACCGATAATATTGTTTTATCATTAAAATACTATGATAATTATATCTCAAATGACCACTACTATTAAAACATCCTTCTAATTTTCTTATGAAAAGAGTTTTCCTTTGTTTTTTTTGGTTATAGGAAGAATTATGAAGAAAAAGAAAATTAAAATGCAAGTAAAAGGGAGGGTCCTTGAGTTCTGGTAATGTAAGTAAAAGGGAGGGTCCTTGAGTTCTTGTATTTTAATAAAATTAAAATGAAGAACTCAAGTTGAAGAAATATCACTTTTACTCTCCCTCAGAACTTACAGAGATATATACAAAGTAGCTGATGAATACTCTTGACATGCTGATGATGGCCATTGATTATTCCGGGCTTTCGTCTTCTGCCAAGCGACTCCAAGGCTACTCTTTGAATGGTGCTGCTAACCGGACATATGCTAGTTTATTATCATTGCTTAAGCTTTTCTTTTGGTTTTTCTGTTTGCTGGAATGTATTAATTCCACTAGCTCACTGCTTGCAAATTTTGTTGTTTAAAGGCATTAAAGCCTACTGTCAAAAAAAAAAAAAAAAAAAAAAAAAAAAAAAAATAGAGGCATTAAAGCATTATGGGTGCTCCTTTTGTCTGTATGACACTACTACTGTATTATCCTAGATTCCTACTTCCTAGTTGTTCTCCTTTCCTGTTTAAGTAATACTGAAAAACATTTTAAAGGCCCTAAATCAAACATTGAATCTGCCATTAGCCACTAGATGCGCTTTATTTCTCAGTATTTGTAGACTTAATTGTGTCTGTACAACCACATGCAATTAATAAAACATTCACCCTCGCATGTTTAAACATCATATCTCAGGTACCTGTCTCAGTAAAAGTTTTTTATTCATCTTGAATCGCTGCATTCCAACTTGAATCCCCTAAACACCATTGAGGACAATGACGATTAAGGATGAGGCAAGGTGTCACGGTCCGAGTGATTCAACACCAGATCGTGCAACGCGCTCTCGTCTTTTGGCGACAAGGGCGCAAGCCTAAAGCAAGGAGGTTCGTGAGCACACAGCAACACGGACCTACGGTGTCTCAAGAGGGCACACGAGAACAACGAGTGCGGAGTCGGGGCTTGTGACGGCCGATACTTCGAAGCGGGCACAAGCGGAACCGACGAAAATGAGGACGTCTCTAGGGTCTCTTGGTTTGGTGGGGGATGCTTTAAAACAAGGCAAGCACAATATCTATAAAGGCTTAAACAACACACAAGTCTTAAAGCAATAACAACGGGGTAGAGAGCTTTGATTGAATAACCATTCGCTCCCTAAAGAGCTTTATATTGCATTAGTAGAGAATTACAAGTGAACGTTGAAATGACAGTAACACAATAATTCTCCCTAGGGTCTAGAAAAATAAAAAGAAAGACTAAAGAGACATTACATAAGGAAAATATAAGGAAAATAAAGAAGAATACATAACAAAGAGGTTGGATTCTAACATCCTCCCCCACTTAAGTCGTCGACGTCCTCGTCGACTTACAAAATCTACACTAAGATCTTAGCAGCTTCAGTCTTCTGTTGTAGGGGCGGCTCTTGTCCTGGTTCTGATGTTGGCACGGTAGCTGCGTTGCGGTTGCTGTCGTCGGGATCTGGATGGTAGGGTTTTAGACGACTAACGTGGAAGACGAGGTGAATCCTCATCCACGCAGGCGGTTCTACCTTGTATGCGTTCTTCCCAATCCGTTTAGTGATGCGGATGGGGCCTTCATATTTCCGAATGAGGCGACGATCTCTCCCTCTGAGAAACTTCAGCTGTTCTGGTAAGACCTTCACCATCACCATGTCCCCAATAGCAAAATCAACTGGCCTTCTGTTTTGATCAGCCCATTTCTTCATCCGGCGCGATGCTCGCTCTAGGTAGGCTTTTGCAATGTCGGTGTTTTGCTTCCACTCTCTTGTAAAATCTCGAGCCTGAGCACTCTTACCGCCCTCCCAGTCAGCCACTGTGTGCGGGAGGAGAGGTTGTTGACCCATGACCAACTCAAAGGGGCTTTTGTTGGAAGAAGAACTCTTTTGAGCGTTGAAGCAAAGTTGTGCGACGTCCAAGAGTCTCACCCAATCTTTCTGGTTGGCACTCACAAAGTGACGTAAGTATTCCTCGAGAAGCCCATTGAATCTCTCTGTCTGCCCATCAGATTGATGGTGGTGGCTTGACGACATGTTGAGGTCAGACCCCATCATTTGGAATAGCTCAAACCAGAATATGCTCGTGAATCTGGTATCCCTGTCGCTTACTATGCTCTTTGGCAATCCCCAGTACTTCACAATATGCTTAAAGAAGAGAGATGTCGTTTCTTCTGCTCCGCAAGCCTTCTGCAAGGGTACAAACGTTGCGTATTTTGAGAACCTGTCTATCACCACCATGATAGAAGAGAACTGGCCAACCTTCGGGAGGCCACTAATGAAGTCCATCGACACACTCTCCCACGGTCGAGTTGGTACAGGAAGAGGTTCAAGGAGGCCCCCGGGCTTCTGTCTGTCAACCTTGTCTTGCTGGCACACAAGGCAGGTTTTGGTGTAGCTCATCACATCTTCCTTCATTCCTGGCCAGTAGTACCCCATCGCGAGTAGACTGAGGGTTCTCTGCCAACCAGGATGTCCCGCCCACAGCGTATCATGGCATTCCTTCAACAACATTTTCCTCAATCCCCCTACTTTGGGGATGAACAGCTTTGTACCTTTGGTGAAGATGAGGCCATCTTCCAACCAAAAGCGTCTAGTCTTCCCTTCTTCAATCATCCTTGTTACGGTTTTTGTCATCGGATCTGATTAGGGGATTTTTCCCCACCAATCACCATCTGACAAGTGGACCAATCAGGTTCCGCCATGTGTCCGTCACATGGGCCAATAGGAGCCTGCCACGTGTCAAGCAATGATCCGTCCACTATGGACCAATTACGACATGACACGTGTCCTTCCCATAACACCTGGGATAACCGGTCACCTAGGCCCAACTTCCGAGGGAAGCCCAATCAGCCCAAGGTTAACCTAAACCTAGACTGACACGTTTCCCGAGGTTATAAATACCTCCCTTAATCCTCATTAAGAGAGATTACACGCTAAAAAGCAGATTACACACATTAAACACTCTCACCTAGAGAGACCCAATCACTTTAATTTCCGCATTAATAACTCCTTAATCAAGTACTAACTTGACCGTCGGAGGCGGATCTCCAATCATCCGGAGCATCCGTTTGTTTTGCAGGTACAGGCGTCCGGTTCCAGTCTCGGAATTGTAACTCTCCCGCAGGACATCAGAAAACCCCGAAACATTTGGCGCCGTCTGTGGGGAGAGTACTTCTGAGATGGCATCTGTTTCGGGGTTTTCTGATGTCCTGCGGGAGAGTTACAATTCCGAGACTGGAACCGGACGCCTGTACCTGCAAAACAACGGAGACTCCTGATGGTGGGAGCTCCGCCTCCAACGGTCAAGTTAGTACTTGTTTGAGGAGTAATTAATGCGGAAATTAAAGTGATTGGGTCTCTCTAGGTGAGAGTGTTTAATTGCTTGATCCCCTTTAATGAGGATTAATTAAGTATTTATAGTCTTTGAGAAGCGTGCCAATCCCAGGTTTAGGTTAACCTTGGGCTGATTGGGCTTCCCTCGGAAGTTGGGCCTGGGTGGCCGGTTTCTCCATTAGGCATGGAGTATGCCACGTGTCATGACATAATAGGTCCAAGGTGGACAAATAAGCGGATGCCACGTGGCAAGCCCTGACAGTTCCAACTGGGGGACACTTGGCAGGACCTGATTGGCCCACGTGGCGCATTCCGATTGGTGGGAGCAAAATCCCCTAATCATTTGCCCCTCACAGGTGGCACGTGACTGGTCACATGTTACCTGTGACAGGTGTCGCACTGTAACAGGCGACGGCCTGCTACAGGTGTCACTCGGCGAAAGGCCGAGAGATTCTCCCGCCCAAATTATGAATTCTGGAAGTGACCCTTCGCCTTCTCACTTCGCCTATATAAGGGAGTGTTGACTTCAGTCATTTTCACACTTGAGAACTTTTTGAGAGAACATTCGGACCCCTGAACTTGCTCTGACAATTTGGACCCTTTCTGCCTACCGCCTGTTCTGACAAGCCGACTGCACAGGATTTTCAGAACTCCATCAACGTCACTCGTTCAGGTAACCGTCGTTCTCTTACTCTTAATTTTCTCTTTATTTTATTCTTTTTTGAAATGGCACCACGGAAGCACACGACACGACCTAGGTTAGTGATCAGCCGGTCACCGGGGACGGCTGAATCTAGGACTAGGAGTGCCGCCTGCCCTTTTCCGGACCCATCTTTGCCCTTTATACAAAGTCCGACTGTATCTGTGTCTATGCAGAGCATGATGGCCAGAACAA